GAAATGCTGTGAATGATTCCAACACAGTATGTGATCATTTGATGAGCTTTTGAATGGAATAAAATCATTTCTTTCTTCGTATTCCAGTCCCTTCAACAAATCGATTAATTCCAGTTTCGTACCACAGCGCCATCATTTTGTATCCATGTTGTTCATATTAGATGGTGGAGCCAGACTTGATGTTAAGGTTAAGTATAATTAATTAGAAGGAACTTTCACTGTCATTACATTTCATTTATTTATTTTATTTTTAGTTAATTTATATATATATATATATCTTAAAGGAACTTTAGAAGTTCCTCTGCAGCTGCTGCAGGAATCTGGCGCATTGTGGCTCAGTTCTTCTGACTCTGTGGAGCCTCTTTTATAGATTGAAAGAGACAATCCTGAATTTATGATAAAGAGGAAAGAGAGTTAGAAAATAACACAAAGAGAGACACAAAAAGATCAAAAGCTAAATAAATACTTAAAGCCATCCATCTGGTTTCCATCTGGTTACTTCAAAATAACAGAAAATGGAGATAAAGAGATAAACGCAACACATTTAGAACAACAGCTTCAGGTTTAATCAAAGAAATGACACATTTCCATCACATTTATATTAACAAAATATATGTATGTGTTCTAACCATATACTTATGTTAAAACAATTCCTACAGAAATGTTATCAATCAGCAGCTTTAAAGGCTCATCTTCATTTTCAGAGCGATGTGTGTCTGCCCTCTTGTGACCAGAGAGAGAATGACAGCCCTAATGATGCACCTAATCTTCACTCCTCCATAGTATGTGACATTCTTAAGTTATATCCAGTTATTAGACTCAGATGATAAAAAGACATATTTTGATTTACATTTTTTAAGTATAAAAACAAGCTGCTGTGTTCCACTCTGCTTCAACAGTAGGCCTATGTGTTTCAGTAAAGAATTTATGAAATTCAGCAGTGATCCTGTTTGAGTTTAATAACAGTTATATACCCTGATTTAATCTGAACTGATAGTTAAAACTATAGTAGAGCTAAACAATTGGGTCCAAGATAAGACCTTAGCTTTGAATAATTGTAAATAACGTGATAAATACTGCTCAATTTGACAAAAAACGACCAGGTTTATGCACTCCAATAGCCAATGGGACATCTACTTTCTTTTAATGTCTACAATTTCAGACATGCAAAAAAAAAAAAAAGACAGCAGTACCATGGACAGCTCCACTTCTCTGAGAAGCAGGCTAAAGGCCAAAACGCACACAATCTGATTTTGCATCCAATCCCACAGAAAATTGTGTTGAACGACGTTGTGGTGTTTAGTGCTCATTGAATGATGATCACAAACAAAATGATTTTCTGCAAGAGGGCTTGCATAGCTCCGACTGAGATAGTTCCCAGGTTTATTTTAGTCAGACTACCAGCGGCAATTTCATAGATCTGACAGGAAGAGAGAGCTGCTTACAAAATAAGCTTCTCTATCAGTCCCTGATTGGTTGCCCTGTCGTGATTTCCTAGAAAAGTTCAGCTTCAACTTCAGCGATAACAACTCCTCTCCATGAGGTGCTGCCGTTTTAAAACACCTCAGCTCTCTCTAGTCACACAAGGTGAAGGAGGAGCAGTGAACGCTCTCACCATGTGGAGTTTACTGCTGGTCTTTTCCCCACCCATTGTCGAGTGCTTTGTATAGAAAATCTATATGAATCCAATGCGTTTGCCACAGCCACCGCGTTCGGTGCAAGTTTGCAATTTATTTGTGTAAAGTTTAAAAACATTTCAAATTCTTAAAATACTCATTCTCCTCTCGACAAAAAAAAAAAAAAAGAATAAGCTGATTGTTTAAATTTAGTCGATTTATGGCATGTTGCATCTTCTCATGACAGGTGTTGTAACCATCGTAAGGATGGGGTAGCTTGAAGACCCAAGTGTTTCAGCCTTAAAGGAATAGTACACCCAAAACATGATTAGCCTTCATTTTCTACTCACCCCCATGCTGAACAACACTCTGGAGTACTTTTTTGATATCTCAAATGCATCTGGAGATCTGGGAGGCTTCTTGCTGTCTGCTGACATTCAAATAATGGAGGTCTATGGTGCCCGAGGCAGAAAGGTCCATAAAAGTCTGCAAAAAACGTGTCAATATTCCTCCATACTGCTCGTCCAATGTATTCCAAGTGTCCTGAGTGGGTAGCGTCCATAATTTACTTGAAACGAAGTCATTTAGAATGTTTTTAGAGCGTAAACAGTAGTGTATAGGATTTCCTAAAAGCGCGCGCCTGCGAGTTCACGAGTCTACGGAAACCGCGGCAGACCAAACCAGACGAAAGTGCGCATTCAGCTCGGCAAAGAACTCATGCTCTTCCTCAACACTGAAGTCCTCAGACATTTTTCTTTCGTTGTTTCTTTCTTTGCACAGGTAAACAGCACATTTCTTCTTCTACGCTTGCATTATCGGCAGAGCAGACGCTGAATGCGCACTTTCATCTGGTTTGGTCTGCCGTGGTTTCCGTAGAGTCGTGAACTCGCAGGCGCGCGCTTTTAGGAAATCCTATACACTACTGTTTATGCTCTAAAAACATTCTAAATGACTTCGTTTCGAGTAAATTATGGACGCTATCCACTCAGGACACTTGTAATACATTGGACGAGCAGTATGGAGGAATATTGACACGTTTTTTGTGGACTTTTATGGACCTTTCTGTCTCAGGCACCATAGACCTTCATTATTTGAATGTCAGCAGACAGCAAGAAGCCTCCCAGATCTCCAGATGCATTTGAGATATCAAAAAAGTACTCCAGAGTGTTGTTCAGCATGGGGGTGAGTAGAAAATGAAGGCTTATCATGTTTTGGGTGTACTATTCCTTTAAACACTTCAGTGTTGACTACGTATTTTTTATGAATATTGTGAAAAATCAGTCCAATGCAATCATATTTAAATGATATGGGCAATTAGCGGACAGATTTAACAAATATTGTAATATAATAGTAATATTTTACATATTTCAGAATCAGAAATACTTTAATAATCCCGGAGGGAAATTACTTAAATTTGCAAAGGATCAAGATATTGTTATTCTTTAGTTTAAGTGCTTTATTGCAAAATTATCATATTATTGAGCAAGGGTTTTTTTGTTGTTGTTGTTTTTTGTTTTTTGGAAAAGATGTAGATCCTCTACTGCTACTCTTTGAAATCAAATTCTCTGAATGGTCCAGGTCAGGTCTCGCATTGGCTTTGCCTACAGATGGGGTTCTCAGCTGACTTTCTGTAATCGAAGTTTCAGATAAGAGCTTTGCCAGTTAAACTATAATGTTCTGAAGTCAAAGTATTGCCTTAACAAATTCTAACTAAATAAGGTTAAATGCATTAATACACAAACCTATCTTTTAGTTTTAGGGTTGCTGTTTTTTCCACCTCATCAGTCAAGTTAACAGAGATTTAATCTGAATTAAAAAAAATAAAAATAAAAACTTTTGTCTGAAAATATTTCACCTCTGAACCATTGAGGAATCCAAACCTCAAATAAAGTCCAAATACAAATAAGTCAATCTTTACGAATCCCAAATATTTAAATTACCAAATTTAAAAGAAAAACATGACAGTAACTTTTTTTTAACTGTGTTGTTGACTTTTCTTTACCACTTAGCTTGTTATTTGCCACATTCTAGTTTTTCCGGTACTGTACACTATATAATGCATTCTTTAATAAAATATATATTTAAAATATCTGAATATTTAGATTTTTTTATTATTTATACATTTGCTTGTCTTTGCATTTCAATACCTTTTACTTGGAAATACACTTTTTGTCAGGGTTTGGTTGAGGTTTTGAGGACCTGAATGCAGAGGCGAGGAGGCAGAGGTGAGTTCATGTAGTTTTAATGGAGTTAACACAGGTAACAGAGGCAGGAATCCAAAAATCCAACATAAAAATGCAAAATAAACCAGAATCATGGAGACCTCATGGAAAACATGCACGAGCAGCCGGGAAAAGACGGGGAACCAACGCTGATGAACTGCACAGGGCAGGGAGAGTATCTATGGGATACTAAATAATGACAGGACCAACACAAGAGGGCAACAGAGGGCAAGCAAAGAAAAACCTAAGAACTCAAATATAACCAGAAAAACACCACAAAATAGGAATTAAACCAATAAAACTAAAAAACAAAGAACAACATGGATCAAAGTGAAACTGAATACTCAAAAGAAAACCTAACACAACCAAGACCAAGACACTTCTAATATCTTTGTTATTTCTTTAGCCGACCCAGACCCCGATTGCTGCTTTTATGTATCTGTTTGAGAAACATTATGGTGATATTGTCTATTTTCCTCCTCAGAAAGGCAATAGCTTCACTGTAGGTTCTTATTGGGAAGGATGTTGTTCATCCAGCAACAAAGAAACAATTCACCTCTCTTCTGAACTTACATGCTTTTTTAGAATTAAGGTTTTCTAACTTCTCTGTACAGCTTCTTTTTTTTTTTAAATCAACACTGTTGTGACAGGTTTTAAAGAAGGTTAAACGTGTCGGGATGCATTGTGGGAATAAATGCGCATCTCAGTCTAAATAAATCAGCAAAAAAGTTACAAAATGTGAACCTAATCCCAAAGCTTTGATTAAATAAACTCAGTAAAAAGACGATGGCTCCGCTGTTTTTTTTACCTATTTTGAGGTAAAAGAAATCAAGTTTTTACCGTGCAATGTATCTATGAAGTATCGACTTCAGCCCCTTTAGAGCTCCGTTAAGTTTTGTTTGCCGTCTCTGTAACGGTTTTTGAAACTGAAGGAAAATAATTGTAGTCTGCATGGTATTTCATGTGTTTATTCAAATACAATTTTATATAAAATAACCCTTTTAAACCAATGCACATGATAAAGGGCATGTTAAAACTGACTTCTTTGTGAAACTCTTTCCACAGGTTGTACATGAAAAACTATCCTTCACAAATATGTAAATTCTTTTATGATCAGATGTCTTTGTGTTTAACTTTTTCCTCAGGTCATACATGAAAAAGGCTAGTCACCTGTGTGAATCTTAATGTGATGAGTCAACTGAGTTTTTTTTCTGAAGCCCGTTCCACAGGTCACACATGAAAACGGCTTCTCGCCTGAGTGAATTCTTATGTGATAAGTTAACTGAGTTTTTTGTCTGAAGCCTTTTCCGCAGGTCACACATGAAAATGGCTTCTCGCCTGAGTGAATTTTATTGTGATAAGCTAAAGAACCTTTTTGTGCGAAACTTTTTCCACAGGTCATACATGAAAACGGTTTCTCTCCTGAGTGAATTCTTATGTGATCACTTAACAGATTTTTTCGTCTAAAGCTTTTTCCACAGGTCACACATGAAAATGGCTTCTCGCCTGTGTGAATTTTTCTATGAAAAGCTAAATAACTTTTTTGTGAGAAACTTTTTCCGCAGGTCATACATGAAAACGGTTTCTCACCTGTGTGAGTTCTGATGTGCACATTTAATGTACTTTTTTGTTTAAAGGTTTTTCCACAGGTCATACATGAAAATGGCTTCTCATCTGTGTGAATTCTTATGTGACTATTAAACCGAGTTATTTCTCTAAAGCTTTTTCCACAGGTCACACATGAAAATGGCTTCTCACGTGTGTGATTTCTTATGTGATCAGCTAAATGAACTTTTAGTGCGAAACTTCTTCCGCAGGTCATACATGAAAATGTCTTCTCGCCTGTATGAATTCTTATGTGAGTAGCTAAACTAACTTCTTGTGAGAAACTTCTTCCGCAGGTCATACATGAAAATGGCTTCTTGCGTGCATGAATTCTTTCGTGAACAGTTAAATGACCTTTTAGTCTGAAGCTTTTCCCACAGATCATACAGGAAAATGGCTTCTCACCTGTGTGAATTGTTATGTGCTCAGTTAAATTACTTTTTTGGATGAAACGTTTTCCACAGGTCATACATGAATACGGCCTTTCACCCGTGTGAATTCTGATGTGCGCAGTTAATCTATATTTTTCTGAAAGACTTTTTCCACAGGTCAGACATGAAAAACGTTTCTTATGTGTAACAGGGGTCTCTGGCCTTAATATTTGTCCACAAACGGGGCTTTCAAATGTTGGGTTAACCATTTTATTCAAGTGTTTATTTTTCTGAGTTTTTTTGAGTCCTTCTTGTTTTGAACTGCCTTCAAGGTTGCTAGTTTCCAGACCTTTGTATTCCCTGGCAGATCCTGAATTATCAGGATTGCTTCTTTCCAATTCCTCATTTTGAGGTTCAGCAGAGCCCTGAATGACTAACTTGAATAACTTTCTGTTTGGTTCTGGTTTCATGTTGTATATGTCCTCATGGGAAGGAGTCGCTAGATGTTGATGTCCTGATATCTGGTTTGACTGTTGCAGACATGCGTTCTGTGGTTTGGTCTCCGGCTTCAGTTCATTCTGCTCTTCATCCTGTTTTATGAAAAACTCCTTTTCTTCTTTCAGGTGCAGAAACTGTAGCTCATCATATTCTTCTTTTATCTGCTGATGGCCTGGTTCCTCTTGTTTCCAGTTTCTCTCCAAGTCACAGGACTGTTGGTCTGTAAGAACCGCGTCCTTCTTTACAGGGTGTTGTAGTGAGTCTGGACACATAGGAAGGAAAGGAAAATGTTCTCTTTAAATTAAACAAAAGCAAAACTGTTTTTGTCATATTGGTAAAGATGCAAAGTGTATCAAAACTCTTAAAATGCAAGGACTTAACTTTTTGAAATCACTAAAAGCACCTCTTGTAGCAAAGAGCAGAGCTATATTGTATTCTTGTATTATATAATTAGTTAATTTGTGTGACATGAAATCTTCAACTTTGTGAGTTAATAATGACATCCATTCCAAGAGTTCCCTGTGTTTTTCCTGTGATAGACAGACAGATAGACATAGACATACTAAGTCCGACAGAGACGCTCTCTTGCTTCTCACTTGCTTATATTAGTCTTACATTTCATATTCTAATCTCTTAGCCAAACACTTCAGAAAGTTGGACAAAACTTGGCTTTACAAGGATTCTGCAGGGTCCGTTTCATGAAGCAGGTTTAACAAACTCAGATTCAAATCCTCGGCTCTAAATTGATCTAGCCTAAAGTCGGAAACTCTGAGTTTTCAGTTTCACAATGGCTGCTATGAATTAGTTCAACTCTAAGTAGGTCCACTCAGAGTTAAGCACATGCCTAACAAGTTTAAAAAGCCATCATCAGTGGATCCCAGAATCGACAAGTCACCATGACAGCAGGAAACAGGAAGTGCCTATTTCGCCAAACTGGAGCTGGAGATTTTAATAAAGAAATAAAAAAAAAAAAACGAAGGATTAAGTGTTCAATAGACAAAGAAACAGCAATACAGCTGCAAAGGAGTGAAAAAAGACTGTTGCTGGAGTTAATGGGTAGATTTATATGAAGTGGTCTATGGTAGGCCGTTTTTACATTTATTAGTGGCAGTCTCCCCTCTGTTCTTTTTTACTTTGTTAGGGTATTGTGACCACGATAACATTGCAGGTTTATTTTTTAATGGTAGTGGATAAATGTATTGTATTGATGTATGTAGGATAAATAATCTGTTTGCCACAAGCCACCTGGGAGACACAGCAAACGTGGAAGAAGGAGCTCTGGTCCAGAGATGGGAAGTAACGAAGTACAAATACTTCGTTACTGTTCTCTACTTATTTTTATGGCGACTTTTTACTTCTACTCCTTACATTTTTACACAAATATCTGTACTTTCTACTCCTTACATTTTAAAAAATAGGC